TTGTAAATTTTCATTTGTTTTAAGTTTTTAATTAGTTAATTATAATATTTAACTAATAATAAACTCATTATAAACTTCATATAAAGTATAAATATTAATAATATTTGAATTTAAAACTTTTTTTAAAAATATTTATAATATTTTTGAAATTTTTTAAGAGTTTCAATTTTCTAAATAAAGAGTCGGAGTCAACCGGATCACATTTTTAATTTTAGAAACCTGATAAATCAAGCTTTTTGCTTATTTGTATTCGGAATCATTTTGATCTTTTTTATAGTATGACTATACACATACTTTTTTTCTTCGTCGATTGAGTAATATATGTCTATTTTAAAAAATATGAATAATATTATATGCAGAAAAAAATCTAAAATTTTATTACCTATATATTTTATAATAATTCAAAATAATTTAAATATAAGGTCAAATAAAAGTGAAAGGAAAATCATATATTTATGTTTAAATTACGTAGAGAAGTTTTAATTGGGGGCTTAATTAATTTCCTTACTCAATTCTTGGGTTCACCCCCTTGTATTCACCTCCTTTATTCTTAACCAATAATTGTGTCATGTCATCTAACACTTAATTAAAAATTAAAAATTAAACAAATTTATAAAATAAATTAAAAAATAAAATAATTAACCAAAAGATTAAGTTAGTTAACAGAGACGACGTCGTTGGTGTTAGCATTATCTGTTAGGGTTTTGATCTTTTTTCCATGGTCAAAACCTGCATAATCTTGGAATTGTTCCGGCTGCAACGTCAAAAGTCAAGAAGAAGCCCTCTCTCGTCATGTGTATACACCATTTATTAAGAAATCAAGATTTATTAAAAGTAACATGTTCATTCCTCCGTCTCTCGCTGAGTCAATATTTTGTGTCAAAGTAATAAAGCTAGTTTGATTTTTTTTTTTTCTAATCTCTTGGGAAATCAGTTTTTTTGCAAAATTACATTCGTATTCATTTATTATTTTCCTCTAGATTGATCTACTTTTTTCTTTCTTATTATTTTCTTCTAAAATCACATTCATTGTAGAAATTAGATTATCAGTTCTACAACCTCAAATTATCTTCATTCGTATTCGCTTGTGGATGTACACCACAAATTATTAGTTATACAACTATTTAGATTCCGATCAAATAGAAAATAAAACAAGTATTCTACAAACGGTGTATGAACCATTGAGATTCCGATCAAATAGAAGATGAAATCTGCAACTCATTTACTAGTTCTTGAACATTGGAGGCTTCACTCTTCAACCAAATTATATGGTAATGTATACATGTTATATGGTTTTGACTTGTAGACGAAGCTGTCTTCTCAGGCTCCATCATATCTTGTTTATTCAAAGAGGAACATGTACGAAAAATTGAACAAGTCAGAAAGAGAAACACAAGCAATATAATGTTTTTTGAAACAGAAGCCAAAATTGAACAGGTAGATCGATCCACAAAAAAAAGACAAGAACACGAAACCAAATAATAATCCACAAAAAAAAAAAAAAAATGTCTTGAGTGTTTTCTCAAACGACGATGACGTATTAGCTTACATGTCGTGACATCTCCGTTAACTAACTCAATCTTCTACGTTGCAGCATGAACAATTCCAAGATTATGAGAGTTCTAATAATACAACAGAAGTAGGTGAATTGGTAATGCTAATTGCTAAATATCAATGGCCATGGAAAAAAAAATCAAAACCCTAACGTATAATGCTAACACTAACGACGTCTCCGTTTTTTTTGGTAGGCACGTCTCCGTTAACTAAATTAATCTTTTGGTTAATGATTTTATTTTTTAATTTATTTTATTAATTTGTTCAGTTTTTAATTTTTAATTAATTGTTAGATGACATGACACAATTATTGGTTAAGAACAAAAGAGGTGAATACCTAGGAGTGAACCCAAGAATTGTTCCATTTTCCAGTCTTCATTTTGTTATAAAACTTTCTGCCTCCACTACTACATATGTATTAATATTGCCCATGGACATATTCAACACCCCATAACGAAACCACATAATTAAATCTACCATATTATTTGCGTTTCTGTGAGAATAGATACATGCGATTTGAAAAAAAAAAAAAAAAAAAAAAAAAAAAAAAAAACCAACAGTGAAATGTCATGAAAAATAGTGTTTCATTCATGTATCTCTTTCCCTACCGTCTTGCTTACGTTTGATTTATGAACATATATATGACATCACATTTGTAACATGGAAAAATATCAGACACATTTACCCACAAGATAGCACAACATGAAGCCTTCCTTTATAATTTATCAGAAAAAAAGAGATAAACGTAAATCCATGAGGGAATAAAACAAAGCCATCTTGACTTGTTAATTAAATAAGTCCTTGAGACCGATTTAGCTTGGATCGCATTAACTGTTCTAGTCTGTGATTGCACTCTCTTGTTCGCACTATATCACATTGCAAGTGATCTTGACTTCCACGCTCCAAAAACTTTGCAAAATGAGCGATAGATATTTGTAACCAATTTACAACTGCGTTTCTCGTCTTGTATTTTTTTTTAATGTAATGTTAAATTAAATTCAAAAGAAAAATATCGTTTTTACAACATGTGCATCGTGTGATCGAGAGAATTCTGAAAAAATTTAAAGCTGAAAATATTTAGGAATTAGCTTCTTGCTTCAAACCATGTTTGAAGACCTTTGTCATACCGCCTATCTCCACTTGCTCGAATGGAAGATAGTTGGTTTCTAACTTGCTTATCGATCCTTTGAATCAGAAGATCTGCGGAGGTTGGGTTTTCGCCGTGACGTCTACCATTCCTCTCACGCCATATTATGTACGTTGTTGCTTGGAAGACATGTCGGGCAATGAAAGATTCTGCTCGATCACGCCAATGGCCAGAGATAGCAGTGATTAAATCAGACCAGTTTCTCGTCTTGTAATTATGGAAGGTTTTGCAAATTGTCGTCGTCACAGTTCCTTTTATTTTTTTTTTTTTTGATAACTCGGGTGTCCGGACCGACTAGCATGGGGCCCATGTGCGTCATCTGCCATATGGTACCCCACATCCCGGGGAGCTGGTGATCACCTCAGTTTAATTCACCAGTGGCCACTAGTATGTAGCAAGGGAGAATCAAACCCGGGCGTATTGGAGTTACCCCCTCAACCTCGAAATCCATCCTACCACTAGCCCACCTTGTAGTGGTTCCTTGTTTTCTTGTAGTAATACAAATTTATTCTTATGCAAATTTTACAATTTAGGATAAGTCTATTCCTGCAAAATTATTATATGTATATGTTGGTATTGATTTTGAAAAAGTCTTCATCTTAGGCAGGAACACTACCTATGAAATATGTAGATACAAAAAAAAATCAATAAGAGATACTAGAATGTCAATTTGAATATCAGATTAGTGGATATAGTTATGATTGTATAGGTTAGGTCCCCTTACTTTTTTGTTTGGATTTGTAAATCCCTTATCTATCAAGTATCAAGCAATGGAGGGATAATTGGCCATTAAAAAACATTCTTATCATTTTTCATGGTATTGCTAAATACAATGTTCAACTTTATCCTCGAAATTACTCGATCTGACTTATTGTTATTAATTGTTTTAAATGAAACTGTAAGAATATACATTTACGTTTATGGCAGTTACCAATTTTCTAGTAGGTTGAATATATATAGAATGACACCATGCCTATTTGATTAAAAAAAAAAAGAAACAACCGCCTAAAATTTTACTTAAAACTTAAAGAGACATATTGTTTACTAACACCTAATGATGCATTTTAATTTTATTTTTCTTTGCCTTAAGTGCCATCAATAATTCGAAGAATAGTCTATGTTTTTTATTGTCCATGTGTTTGTATTTTCTCGGGAAAACGGCCAAAATTAACCCCAACTATTTTTAAATAACAAACCTGAACTATGTAACCGTTACCCAATTTTAACATACTGTAGTTTTTTTTTTTTTGTATTTGTTCATGTCGATTAGAATTGTTATCGTAATTATATGTTATTTTGTATATGAACCATTCCTTTTATTCAATTGGCTAAATATTGTTACATAATTCAGGTTTGTTACATTATTTAATAACGAGTATAAGTTGAAATTGGCTAATGGTTACATAGTTCAAAATTGTTATTTAAAATTTATGTGGGTTCAGGGTGATAAGTGCAGTGGATCAGAGTTTGAATTGAAAAAAACCGCATAATAATAGTTGGGATTGATATAAACCGTTTTTCCGTTTTTTCTCCCACCACATTAATCCCTCTCATTTAGTTTTTACCAGCGTCTTCCTTTTTAATCAGTTTTTAACCATTTTTTATACATGTTTAGACTGAAATTTTACATTTTTATACTAAACACCATGTTTAGACTCTGAATTTTTTTCCATATAATAAATAAGTCCTTGAGACCGATTTAGGAAAAAAGTCTTTGCCTTTTAAAATAAAATTATATGGAAAAAATTCAGAGTCTAAACATGGTGTTTAGTATAAAAATGTAAAATTTCAGTCTCCCCGTAAGGCCCACCCGAGTGTACGAGTCTGCAGTTGCCTCTTAGTTGTTCTGCGTAGCTCCGAGCGTAGGCTGCAACCCTCTCGTCCCACTGCATGGGACCTACGCCTACCGCTCCTCGTGCCTGGTTGTGAACCCTTAGATAGTCTTGTGGGCTGTCTTGAGCCTTCGTGGGAAGAACAAGAGCTCCTACAAGGGCTACAAAAACTATTAGAAATCGAGAATAGCTAATGAAATTCATTTTTCTAAGTCGATAATGGCTATTTCAAGCTTTGTTGTGTTATTATTTTGGGGTTCGTAAACATGGTTTATATAGAGATTTGAAAACTATCTCGCATTTTGTTCAGACACAAAAATAAACGACGTTTTGGTAAACGTACGCATGGTCCATGTGATTGTATTTTCGTCTTATTCCTTGCAATTGTCCATATGAATAAAATTTATTTTCGTAACTATTATTTGTCAATTTTTTCCGTAATAAAATATTGAGAAATGGTCTCCAATAGCCCTAAATGAAGTTTTTGTGACAAAAATAGCATCTCCTAGTTTATTTGACAAAAATAGCACTCATTTATTTTTAATTTAATAAATTTAATAAACAAAAGGAAGGGAAAAAGCATTTCACGATAACTGTCGTCACTCCACGATAAGGCGATGACGGAGACGATTTTAGGTGATAGCTGCCAGCGACAGAGAAAGCTGCCAGCGACGGAGAGATCTGCCTGCGACGGAGAAAGCTTCACCTATTTTCGAACTTCAAACTGGTCTAAATGGATCTCTTTCACCAATTTTTTTTCTTCTTCTTCCCCAATCGTGTTGACGAAATTAGGCGTTTATTGTTGAATTATGGCTTTCTATTGTGCAATTAGACAAATTGTAGGTGCGTTCATTGATTCAGCACAAAGAATTCTGATGTCTCATTGTTCATCTCTTACCTTTTTCATTGTTGGGCTTGATTGCATTAGAAATCTTAAGTAGATGAGACTTGTAATTGAAAACTATTGATAAGTAGATGCTTTACGAATTCTGAACAAAGAGAGAGTGGTTTTGGTATGTAGATGATTTACATATGATATAAGGTAGATGATATAAACATATGATATATGATTCAGTCAAAGAAGCTTACGCTCGTGCTAAATCGGCGAAATCTCCGACGAATTCACAAGCTTTGTTTATTGAGGAAAGATCATGTGTTTGGAACTATGTCGATCTAAGATTGTAACGGATTTGTATTTCGTGATCTCTAGTCATGTCCTTGTTTTTGTTTATATGGTTTCTGGAGTTGATTAAATCTTTGGTGAATTAAAGTTTGGATGATGAAGACGAAGTTTGCATCTGCGAGGAACTTGACGATTTGGTATTTGGAGAACTTGAGGTAAGCAACCAAAACTTCTTATCTCCATGCATTACCATTAAACTTATAAGTTAGGATCTATGTGACATTTATGCAGGCTGGAGAAGGCACTAGAATGGACATCTCAGTTTCTGTGCCACCAAGTGATACATGTTCAACGCCTGAAAAAGGACAGGGCAATTATTCATTATTTTTGCCTCCTGCTCGAGATTCTGCTGTGATTTCTATAGGAAGTACACATTCAACGGCTGCACATGAAAATCAGAAGGTAAAATCTCAATTTCATAGGTTTTAGGAAGGATACATTTAATTTTAGGATGACCTTCCTAAATAATGCAATATACAGATATGATCCGAACTAGTCGTCTTTTTTTCTCAATTTGAACTGTTTATTCATATGCCTATCTATTTTTGGGTTTGTAGAACCTCATCCTTTAGTTGGAACTTCTTCTATCTCTGCTGCACATGAAAACCAAAAGGTAAAAACTCAATTTCATAGGTTTTAGGAAGGATACATTTAGGTTTAGGATGACCTTCCTATATACTGCAATATACTGATATAATCAGCTTCTAGTCGTCTTTTTAAAATTTTAACTCTTTTTCATATGCCTATCTATTTTTGTATTTGTAGGAACCTTATCTTTCAGTTGGAACTTCTTTTATCTCTGCTACACATGAAAACCAGAAGGTAAAAACTCAAATTCATAGGTTTTAGGAAGGATACATTTAGTTTTAGGATGACCTTCCTAAATACTGCAATATACAGATATGATCTGTTTCTAGTCGTCTTTTTTTTTAATTTTAACTCTTTGTTCATATGCCTATCTATTTTTGTGTTTGTAGGAACCTCATCCATCAGTCGGAACTTCTTCCATATCTGTGCCATATAGTAATACATGTTCAACGACTGAAAAGGGAATAGGCAATAAGTCATTGGATCTGCTTCCTGCTCCACATCGTAGTCCGATTCCTATAGGAGGTGTACATTCAACACAAGGTGCTGATGATATATATATTAATAAATATTTCATGAACAAGGCTGAGTTAATGCAGAAGATGAGGACATGGGAGTTGGAGTATAAGTTTGAGTTTAGGTATCGATGGTCTAACAAAGAGAGAGTGGTTTTGGTATCTGTAGATGATAAATGTACTTGGAGGATGCGTGAAATGAGGGTAGACTCTTCTGATTTCTTTGTGGTGAAAAGTATTGTCATGAGCACACATGTGACACTACACACAGAAATGAAAATCATAGGCAAGCTACTGCGAAGTTATAAAATCTCTTTTTATGTCATGATGTGTTTCGTGTTTCATAGAAATATATACGTTTGTTTGTATAAGATCTTATAATTAGAAGCTTGGCTCACTGGTTACATGTTCTATTACAAAAACAATAGGTCCCGGTTTTGAATCTTGGTGGAAGTAACTATTACAGCTTTTTTTTTAGGGAAGACCTTCCTGAATATGTATATATCCTTCCTGAATATTTGGAAACCCTTCCTGAATTTCAAAAATTGTTTACTTTTGCATAATTTGCCTCAAATCTTTCACAAATTGCACAGTTAAGATGCAAAAGATATGCTGAGAGCATACAACTGAGTGGATAATCTGTACGAAACATATGGTATCTGACAAAATACCATACATTGAATATCTAAACAAAACATAAATAGAAACAGATGATACTTTTCTAGTTCATAACCATCATAGAAGTACCAAAACAGTCTAAAACAGTTTCACAAGCATCATACATCCAATAAAGAAACATAGTCCTAAGAAATCTTAACACACTCATTGAAGATATCCACAGCCAACTTGTTTCTGATGTCTTCTGAATCTATATCATGCAGCTTGGAGAAATCTTCAATTCTCTGATTCTCTGAAACTCTGTAGGAGAGAGGATCTGTTGTACTTTCTCGATATACTCATATCTTGCACATTGATTTATCCCAACATTTGAATTTGGCTCCTGTCCTATATTGTACAGAAACTTTGGCAGTGTGACATCTGTTGGAAACGAATCTCCCATTTTCCTGCAATTAAAATTAAAGGAAATCAGTAAACAGATATATTCAGGAAGAACTTCCCGAATTACTATAATTCCTTCCCGAATCAGGAAGACTTTCCCGAATCAGGAAGACCATTCTAGAATGCAAACTAAAACAACTCTATCAAGCAAAGAGAACAGACAATAACACTACAGAAACAAGTAAAGAAAGTTTATTCATATCTTCATATCACAAACTTGAATCTATAACTATGTGACGATATATCTCTCAAATTGTGACAAAAACTAAACTCATCTAAAGTGATAAACTAATCTGATGCAAACTAAGATTCACAAAAGCCTAAATCTCATTCATGAGCTAAATCTCAACCATCAAGAACGAAACATATTAAGCTATCAAATGTTAGATTCAGTTCAATCAACAAGAACTAGAAACTAAAAACAGAACGCTACACCCATAAACACCCACCACCGGCTCCTCGGAAGAAGCAGAAAGTGAATACAAGAAAGACGGTGGAGTTTTTCATTGAAACTGTGAAAATTTTTAAAAGTACTCACTATAAAAGTCAACACTTTCCACTAATTCACACTCTCCACTATAAAAGTCATTGCTTTGAACTAAAACCCCACCCACCATTATTGTTTTCATTACCTTGTCCACAAGAACACTAAAAAAAACTCACGAAACTGCTACTACAACAATACTGTATTTTTTTTAGATTCTGAATACATTCCCAAGAACTAGAAGATAATCATAGTAATCAAATCTAACAACTGAAAAATCCAATGACATATACTATAGTCAATACACAAGAAGAAACCACGGGAATAAGAAGACTAAGAACATGAAAACTGAGATTAATTACAAAAAAAAATCTTTATCGATTTCAACTTATCACAGAGAGATGATTAAAGACTAGAAACTCTCCTGTATGAAGTTCAAAGACAAAAGGATTCAACTTTTTGTAAAAGACCCACAAAAACCAAATCGTTGGAGACGATTCAAAACACCAAAAAAAAGAGAAATTGAAATACAAGAAGAGATAATAAGAACTTACAGGAAACCCTAGAACACGATGAAGCATAGAGAAATGAGGAGAATCAGTGAGTATTGGGTTGGCGAAACAGAAAAGAACCGAGAGTTGGCGAAACAAAGAGGAAACCGTGAAGAATTGGCGAAACAGAGAGTAACCGTGAAGGATTCCGGCGGAGGCGACGAGATCGTTGGTCGAAGATGAGAATTTTGGGTGCGACCGACGGAGGCGTTTAGGGTTAGTCTCTCAAATTTTCTATTTTCTGTTTTAATCAATGTTTAATTAATACTTTTGAGTGCTATTTCTGGAATTTATGGAATATGGGCTATTTTTAGAAGAAAAAACTTTTTTGGGGCCATTTGTGTAAATTGCCCTAAAATATTTTCGTAATAACACGTGTAATTGTTTCTTATTGGTAGCTTTGCCATTGTTCAAATACTAGATTGTCTACCCGCGCGTTGCGCGGGATTTAATTCAAATTTTTTTTTATTTTTTGAGCATAAATATAATCAATTAAATTTTAAAAGATTTTACTTTACCCATGTCTATTATCTTTTCAAATTAGTAAAAAGTTTCTCACACTTTTCACTAAATTTTTTTCGTTATTTTCTATGATTCACTCGCCGTCTCCCGACATCTACTCTATTTTCTCCTTAGATCGTATATATTTTCTCTGGGGAGATGTTTGTCATAAGGTTTATTTGACCATGTTTTGGTGCATCTAAAATTGCTTCATAGATAACATATCTCACATATGGACTCATTCATATTCACAAACATAGGTCTCAAAGTGAAATTTTGCATTTTATCTTGACCATTTGAAAAATACAAAATTCTCTATCTACATATATAATTTAACATATATTATGATTAAAAATAGTATTCTTAATGTTGATTTTTCTAAAATGTGACACTTACGAACTCATAAAAATTATTTTAATTTTAAAATACATCTAATATAAAAAACTCTATTCTTAATTTTTATATATTTATATATATTTATATTTTATTTTATATATATTTATATATTTACTAAATATATTATATCTTCACTTTCAATATATATTTATATTTTATTTTATATATTGGCTTTCTCTTTAGGAATTTATCTTTCTGAGACTAATTTTGTCACTCAGTTCCGATATTTTTATATTTTATTATTTTTATTTTTATTTTTTGTTTGTATCTTATTAAATCCAATGTTGCAATTGTGCTATTTCTACCTATTTTTGATATTTGTAAAAAATCTTCTATATTTTTAATAAATGCATAATGTTTGTACTTCTATCAAATGCATTTATACATTTACTTATATAAAATATTATATTATATTTATGATAAGCTAAAAATTAATAGTATATATAATTATATTTTAGTTTTGTTTTCAATTATTATACACTATACTATTTAGCTATATTTTAATATTTTGTTTACTGTCATTTATAAACTAATCAACTATTATTTTAATTAGTAAATTGTCATAAGATTCATCACTAATTCATTATATATTTTTTGAAAACTAAAAATGTATGTCTTTCCAACTTTTATAAAAATTTTAGAAATACCCAACATATTTATTTTTAAATATGTCATGATTCATTACTATATTTTTTTTGAAAGCTAATAAATGTATGATCTTTCAACTTTCATACAATTTCAAAAATATCCATCATATTGATTTTTAATATATCAATTATAAAACTGAAATTTTTATAAAATTTTTAATATGATTAATCTTAAACATTTTCTCGCTAAAATTCAAATTATATTTTTATGTATAAATTTATATTTCTTTGCTTTTTACTTATAATATTAATTCATTTGTATTTAACTTAAATATTTTATAATAATAAGTAACAATAAATAAAAATAAGTATGTATTGAATGAACATTTTAAATAAATTATATTTTTTAATTTTTAATTAGATGCATGCTTAGGTGGATGATGATGTGGATAGCCTAAATGGAGAGAGAACTCTCCCATTATATATAGATTTTTCATATTTTTTGTTCACTTGTTGTTGTTTTGATTTATATAATTCTATTTAAAAATCTGCTATTTTAAATTTTTTTATACCATTTTAGTTTTTGAAAACAAAAACGTAAAACATCATCTTTTTTGAAAACAAACAAGAAACGTAAAAAATCCCACGCACTACAAAACAAAAAGAAAGAAGGAACAACCAGTGAGCATAGACCAAGTCAAAAAAAGAAAACAAAGAAGAATGCTGAGACGGAAAAGAGGGTTCTGTTTCAAATTTGAACACCACCATATCCTAGTTTATTCAAAAATGTGTTGTACATATCTTAAGGAAAACAATACAGAAAATTCATAACGTACATGAGTTTGTAAATGTTTAAGCAATATAATTAAAATTCTATTTAAAGTCAATTATGAAAAAAAAATTTAAAATAAATAAATGAAAAGTCATAAAGAATTAATTGTTTTTTAGTGTTTCATGCATGTGAATATCACTATCCCTCTTTGCCTATAGGCTATATATGCCGCCACATCTATGACGTAAGTAAAACAATGACATAAAAAAATCTCAGAAATGAGTATAGTCTTATTTGATATATCGTATAATACACTAGATCACCTTCTGATCAAAATAAAAATAAAAAAAATACACTAGATCACCAACTGTATACATTTTATTTTTCGTCCAAAGTCCAAACACTTATACGCATTTTAAATTGAAAAACTCTATGTGGCCGATCTAACTACTTTTGCCTTAGGTTATCTTCATTAATTCTTCAGTATAAGTAAACAAGAGTAAATTAGAAGATAGTTCGCATATTGATTCAAACTTTTGAGAAAAAAACTAAACAAGAGTTAAGAGTAGATTAGAAGATAGTTCGCAAATTGGTTCAATTCAGAAAACTCAGTCATAAGATCGATGATGCAAACTAGAGTTATTGGTCTAGGAGGCTGTTTTTCGTAGCTTTTCTTTGGATTTAATAAAACCTCACCGGATTATATGTATCTATCTCCATGAAACTAATGAAAAACCTCTTCAACAATCTATTAACAATGTAAAGACTTCTTAACAAAAAAACATGTACATTGTTTTTTGAGAAAGTTAGCATTGATACCACATTTGGCCAAAAAGTTAGCATCAATACCACATTCGAGGCCCAATTATCATTTATACCACATTTGTAATTGTAAAATGACAATTTTATCCTCCAACCGGTGAGACAAGGAACTACTGTTGATGTGACACTCTGAAATTCCTGTCGTCCTTTGTCTCTATCCTGACACATTGGTAACCGTTTCGTCCCTCTGGCTGGTAAAACAAAGTTGTCCCCGAGTAAATCCAGATCTTCGTCTACGGCTCTCTGGCGGAATAAAATAAAGATAAAGTTGTCTCCGAGTAAATTCAGATCTCTGGCTGGTAAAA